CAATATGCAAGCATTTGAGAGCTACTGACATAAAAAGAACTCAATAATATTTGTTGGATGGAAGAATGAATGGATGGATGGACAGATGGATAGATGGGTAGATGTATGGATGACAAAAAAGACTCTGACCCTAGCACTGCCACAAAGGAAGGTGCTGTGTGATCTCAGACTGTGCTACTCTACTTTTCTGAACATCAGTTTTTGCACTTATGCCTTCTAATGTCTCCTCCAGCTTCAGAATTTCACCGTTACTTTTCTTGGTCCTAACAAGAGTCCACAATGGAAGGGCTGGGAAAAGCCTGGGGCAGAAGCACTGAAGCTCAATGAAAAAATTTCATCTAAGGTAAAGGTGATCCTAACCTGAAGCTCGTTACTGTAGCACCCTGCAGTGCAATGGGTTTTTCTTTATATGTGGCCTTCTGGCCCTGGATTTGTAGTTCGAACAGGATGATTTGTTAGCCTACAACCTTGCAAAGGGATTGGACACTAGACTATAAAAATAATCCTTAAAGGGAGTAGTCAGCCTATTTTGCAAATAGGGTGCATAAAACCATCCAATAAGAATGATTCACTTGCTTCTATAAGCAGCCAACTAGGTTGAGATTTAGAGAGAGAGAAGCAGCTGTTGTGGTAGTTAAATTTGTATGTCAGCTTGGCTGGGCCTGGTTGAGTGTCTGGGCAACTGGTGGTAGTTATTCCCCATGATCAGACTGGCCATCAGCTCCATGATGGGATCTACCACTAGCAGCTGAGTAGCTGCCTTTGGGATGTGGTCTGCTTCCTGTATATAAGGAGAAGCTTTGGGGATAGTGTCTGTAGCTTATGGCACACTTGAACCCTGGATGTAGCCATGTCATTGCTCAGCAGCCTGCCATGTTCTGCCAACCTTGGGACTTTAGTGGACTTGAATTAATGGCCTACCATGTGGTTTGGTAACATCAGGACTGTGTCTTTTTACTTGTCAACCTTGGTCTTGTCAGCCTCAGCAGCCACCAGCTGCCTGAGCGAAGAAAAGCCTCTAGCTTCAGTGGGCCTGGAGCAGGAGGCAAAGCTGAAGCCAAGGTTGAGGGGCTTTCACCCAGCCCCTAGAGTCTGGCACTTTGAACTCGGACTTAAAGCCTCCAAACTGTGAGAGAATAAACTCCTGTTTGTTAAGGCCATCCCATTTGCGGTATATTCTTGTCACAGCGGCACTAGGGAACCAGAATAGCTGTTAACATTGAAGACAATAAGAAGCAGCCAAACCCATAGCCAGTAGGCCTCTGTGAAGCTTCTGCCTGGTTGTTGTTGTTGTTATGTGCCGTCGAGTCGGCCCCGACTCATAGTGACCCCTCCTTGGGTTTCCGAGGCAGTATCACTACGGAAGTAGGATTGCCCAACCTTCCTTCCGAGGAGTGGCTGGTGGGTTTGAACCGCCAGCCGTCTGGTTAGCAGGCAAGTGTCTTAGCCACTATGCTACCAGAGTGGTAGGGATGAGAGAAAGCTAAAAGCTGTCTTGGTTAGAAGCTGTCTTCCAAGTTGCATCCAGTTATTTCCAAGTTTATTCTGTCCTGAGTTGTACCTTATTACTTCCTCAATAAATCATTTAACTGTAAGTAAAGTTTGTGGGTTCTGTGAGATGTTGCAGTGACTTACCAAACCCAAAGACAGGAGGAAGGGTACTAAGGGGAAGGAGAGTAGTTGGTGTTAGAGATGATGGAGTGATACAGCAGCTTGGAGAAGTTGAATATTTGGGACATATTCAACCTCTACCTAGTACGACCAACGTTGTGTTGATTCTTATTAAAGAAATTATTCATTTACATCCCTTTGCCCAGGAACTAGAAAGTCTCTGTGAAGTTCCTGATAATCTTGCAATTAGAATATCACATAAACCCTTCACTGGATGTGCAAAAGAAGAACAGAATGACCGATCTCTAATCCCCAAATATCCCATTAGGGAGATAAGATGTATGTATAGAACACCTGGGAACAGGGGATAGAGAGAGAAAGCATTAATCTGAAGAAGCTCTGGTGGTGTAATGCCTAAGGTATTTCACTGCTAACCAGAAGGTTGGTGGTTCAAACTCACCAGACACTCTATGGAAGGAAGCATTAATCTGAGAGACTTCTGAAAAACTTCCTTCTCTGCCCTTATCTAAAAGGGCTATGGTGACACAGTGCATTTGGCTGCTAAACAGAAGAAGGAAGATGAGGCAATCTACTTCCGTGAAGATTTACAGCCTTGGAAACCCAGTGGAGGTCGCTATGAACTGGGATCGACTCGATGGTAGTGAATTTGGTTTGGTTTCTGTCCTTATCTATTCCAGGTATTCTCCAAGGTTTTGCAGGGGTTTCTGTATCAAATATGAGCTACTCAAGCTTTCTTGGCTGCTGCTGTGGCTGTTTTGCTGGAATCTTAATAAATTTAAGAAAAGCATGCTGTCCACCCAACTGCTACTGTCATCCTACACTGACAGTAAAACAAGACAGTTTCTTACTGGGTATGTCAGCTGCTCACATTTTTTCAAAACACTGCAAAGACACTGACAATAGGGTATTCATGGTGTGGCCTACTGGTATTCTCCAGACTCTGAATTGCTTATATACTATATAGCTATTTAGGCCTGCTTGTTATATGAAATTTTGCTATCTACCCATAGGCATCCATGTCTGTCTGACCACCCAGCACTGGCTACAAATGATTATCATCCTCCATTTTCCCACTTCCTATATTATCTCAGGGACTAACACATTTGGGAAGTTACGACAATGGGCAACTTAGAAATTGTGTTTTATTGGCTTCACAATGGGTGAGAACAGATATCACACAACATACACCAGAAAGTTTCTATTTCAACACCCTAACTTGCATAGTCAGATTTCCTGTTTAAATTATTTTGAGGCAGAGCTTGTTGGTACATAACTTTGTGATATTTGCTAACTACATTTAAAAAGGAAATGGCAAGAGGAGGGTTGCACAGCTTATTACATACAGTCAATAAGATGTATAGCTATAAAAAGTTGAATTGGCAAAAGTTATGTGATAGAGATATTTACAGTAACAACAAAAAAAGGTGTGGCTTATGAGCCTGCTTATGTATAACCAAAAGCTTCATGGGATTTGATTCCTTGGTTTGGAGGCTTAGGATCATGGTTTCTTGAGACATCCCAGTTAATTGGCCTAATAATATGTTTAGTGCTTCAGTTCTACCTCCTAGTTTATTGAGTAGTGCCTGAAACCTCAAAAGCTTGCAAGTGGCTATCTGAGGTACAAAAATTGGTCTCTATTCCCTTGGAACAACAGAAGAAGAAGGAGAGTCAAGAATAGGAGGAGAATATGAAATATGTGGCAAATTGCTTGCAGGAATAATTGCCACCTTTGTGATGAAACCAGAACTAGATAGTGCACAGCTACCAATAGTGAACATTTTAATCAAGAATTCTACAAAGAAATCTTGATCAAAAAGGGAAAAATGCAGAACAGAATTTCAAATTCTAATCCAGACATTCTAGAGTCATGGAGACTGGATGAATCCCTGAAACAATTGCCCTAAAATAATCTTTAAACTTTAAACCAAAAATATCCCCTAAAGTTGTCTTTAAGCCAAACAAACAAACAAAAAAAAAAACCTCACTGCTGTCCAGTGGGATCAGACTCATAGTCATCCCTCCTTGGGTTTCCAAGGCAGTATCACTACAGAGGTAGAATGCCCAACCTTCCTTGAGAGAAGTGGTTGGTGGGTTTGAACTACCAGCCTTCTTCTGGTTAGCAGTCAAATGCCTTAGGCACTACGCCACCAGAGCTCCTAAGCTAAACACTAGTGTTTTTTTTATTTTTTTTTTTTAATTTTTGCTTTGGGCATTATGCTCTTTTAGGAACTATCTACACAGGAACAAATCGACAACAGCAATTTAAAAGATTAGTTAGGACTCTTAGGGGAGAGTTTCCTTAATGGTGGGAGTAGTAACTCAGAAAAGGGGGGTGAGAATGATTGCATAACTTGAACTGTACTTGTTGGGTGGGGTGTGTTTTGTGTATATTCTCAAGGTAAAAGGTGCAAATAATTTCTTCAAGAACATTTCCTTAGTGCTTACTTTTTACATGCTAGAGATACAGAGAAGAAAAAAAAGTGTAACACCTCTTTTCATATCAAAGAGCTCCTAGCTGGGATTCCCTTCAAAACTGTTCCTCCCATGCACCCTATCACAAACAGAGAGGGAAGGATCTTTTCTATAGCAAAAGTTTTCATAGAAATCACCTTTTTCTTCACCTTAAACAACAACAACAACAAAAAAAACCCATGAACTGGAGAAGCCATTATGAGGCAGGAATGGGGCTTGTGGCTGGGAGACAACACTTTCATAGCTGTCGTCCTCTGGGACGGTCAAAGGGATGTCCTGGTTCCAATAATAAGTGATATAGTGTAAACACAAAGGCTCACATTCTTGGAGATGTCTTTCCCCAGAGACTCGGACACCTTGGATAAGAAGACTTTATCCCAAACGAGGTTGCCTA